GTTCAATTCCCAGCACCCGTATGGCAGCTCATAGCTGTCTATAATAGTTCCAGGGGATCCTTTGCCCTCATACAGACATACCTGAAACTAAAACACCAATGTACATAAAATAGTAACTAAAGAAAGAAGTGTTTGTCCTACCACCTAACTGCTATGGTTGGCTTATTGCTTCATCTGTTGGTTTTTAATATACGACAAAGCCTGGCCCCGTATTATGAGATCTGTACACAAACTCCTTAGCTGTTGTTTCCCCCCCTGGATGTCAGGGAGTGCTAGCAACTGTTTTGGGCTGCTCCATCTCCCTTAGTCAGACCCTTCCTGACAGATGTGAACAGAAGGCCTGCTAAGAAAAGCTTAGGAGCCTTGCAACAGTGCTATATGTTTTGTGGTAAATTGCAACCATTTTCTCTCACTCTTTTTCTTTTTTGTTTGGAGGGTTTTTATGTTTGGTTGGGTTTTCTGTGCAGCCTGGACTGTCCTAGAACTCACTATGTAGACCATGCTGGCCTTAAACTCAGAAATCTGCCTGCTTCTGACCCCTGAGTGCTAAAATCTAATGTCTTGGGCCACCACCACCTGACTTGTAAGGATTTTTTGTTGTTTTCTGAGACAGTATCTTTTGTAGCCAGGCTTGATCAAACTGACTGTGTAGCTGATGATGAACTGACCCTCCTGCCTCCATCCCTCAGTGATGAGATTACAAGCTTGTGCCACCATGCCTAGCTTTTTGTTGTTTGGAAGTAGAAGCCCAGGATAGCCTAGAACTTGTTTTAAACCTCCTATCTTGTATTTCCAAGTGCTGGGATACACACATGAACACCTTGTCCTGAGATCCATTACTGACTGAGAGAACTTGTCTTTTGAATCTCTCGGGCTGCCAGCAGTTTTTACATCTAGTCTGCCCTGTGTTTACAGAGAAACTCCCAGACGATCTAGGCCCTGTTGAAGGAACCTGGTGACCTCAGTGCTAATAGAAATAGCCTTCGTTCCCCACTCTTGCCAAGTCCTAGCATGGCTTACAGGCTTCCACATGACTGGGGCAGCGAGGGAATAAAGAAAAGACAAACTCACTAAGAAAAAAGCTGGGATTGGATGCACTGAACTGTCTAATGGAGGAGCCTCAGCATCCAGAAAATTCAGCATTTTTATTATACCCTGTTGAACAAGGACGCAGGGTTATTGCATGCATCTAAACAAAGAGGCAGGTTTAGCTAATCTTGACAGGAGCAATCTCTGTAGGGGAGGGGTCTTCAGGCAGTAAACATGGAGGACAGGGAGCTATGGTGGGCATTTTCAGCATACACTGTCAACATTCCCACAGGGACCAAGAGGGAAGAAATTGCCATTTCCTTGAGCGTAGTTCAGGGAAGACGTTCCCATTTTCCTATAGCTGTGCCCATGTTAAACAATACACATTCATTCAAGACTTCATTCACTCAGGGCTTCCTCAGCCCACTCCCGGATTTCCTTACTGTCATTACTGAACACTCTTTCCCTTTTGAGCAACAGAAAGAATGTAAATCTCAGTATTTTTCCCATGGACAGTTTCGAGTTCCTTTTTACTTTCTGAAAAAGTTGACATTCTTTTTTAAGTCCTATGCCCATTTCAGTAAAGTTGTTGATGCATAACTATTTGTAACAGAGCTGTTTTTGCCGATTGGAAGTTAGCATGGACTATACAAAGTGAAATTAAATCCTACAGATGAGGTAGGCAAGGGTCATGTAAATTTCAAATCCTGGCTACTTGGGAGACTGAGGCAGAAGGATCACAAGTTCAAGGCCTGCTTGGGTACCTTAGCAAAAGGAAACTAAGAAGAACTGGAGATGCAACTGAATGGTAGAGCACTTGCCTAGCATATTTAAGACTATGACTCAATCCCCAGCACCATGTTTACAAGACAAGTCAGGGCTGGAGAGATGGCTCAGTTGTTAAGAGCACTGCTGTTCTTCCAAGGACCCAGGTTTAGTTCCCAGCACCCACATGACGGCTCACAACTCCAGTTCCAGAGAATCTGGTGACCTCTTCTGACCTCCGGGGCACCAGGCTCTTGCACAGACATACATGCATACCCATAACCGTAAAAGTTAAAGATTATGTAGAGATCCAGCGATGACTGAGGCTTGAAAGTATGTGGTTTCAGATTTATTTCTTGTGAGTGTGCTTGTGCTAGTGTACTGCCACATGAAGAAGCCAGAGGTCAGCCTCAGGGAGTCTTCCTCAGACACTTCCACTTTGGTTTTATGAGACAGGGCCTCTCACTGATTTAGAATCCACAGATTAGGCTGGGAGCCACTTGTGTCTGCCTCACAAACACTGGGACTGTAAGCAGCTTTTTTTTTTTTTTTGTACATGGGTTCTGGGGATCAAGCTCACGTCATCATGCTTTCAAGAAAAGGAATTTATTGATAGAACCATCTCCCCAGCCCTAATATTTCTTGTCCTTGATGAACAATATTGGTTTTTTTTTTTCAGTGCTGGGGATTGCAAAAGGGTCCATGCATGCATGCTAGGTAAACACTGAGCTACATTTAATTTTTTCTTTCTTTTAATTTTGTTTGTTGGCTTATATTGTTTGTGTTTGTTTTGTTTTGAAACAGGGTCTCACTATGTAGAAGGTCTCACTCCTTCACTTGCCTGGAGCTTGCTATGTAGATCAGGCTGGCCTTGGACTCAGCAATCTGCACAGCCTCCTAAAAACAGGGATTGAAAGCATGTGCCTAGCTTTACATTTAGCTTATTTATGTTATTTATTTATTTATTCATTTTTTTTTCTTTTTGAAATAGGGTTTCTTTGTCTATCCCAGGCTGTCCTGGAAATCTCTCTGTATAGCAGGCTAGCCTTGAACTCAGCAATCTGATTGCCTCTGCCTCCCAAGTGCTGGGATTAAAGACATGCACCACCACAGCCTAGCCTATTGATTGTATTTTATATATGCCTTGTATGTATGTCTGTGTACTGTTTACATGCCTAGTGCCCACAGAGGTCAGAAAAGGGTACCAAATCTCATGAAACAAGAGCCAAGGATAGCTGCTATCTTGGATTTTCTGAACATTACTTAGGTCCCCTGCAAGAACAGCAAGTGCTTTTAACTGCTGAGCCATCTCTCAAACTCTCAAACCCTGGCTTCATTATACAACTCCCGAGAAAGCATGTGCAAAGTTCTAATTTTCCATATCCTCCATGCTTGCTCCTTTCATCCCAATGTAACTACCTATCATAACTGGGTTAGTGTACTAGTGTAGTGAATAATTTTGTCCTTTTTTTTTTTTTTTTTTTTTGGTTTCTTGAAACAGGGTTTCTGTAGCTTTGGCGCCTATCCTGGAACTAGCTCTTGTAGACCAGGCAGGCCTCAAACTCACAGGGATCTGCCTGTTTCTGTCTCCTGAGTGCTGAGATTAAAGTTATGTTCCACCACCGCCTGGCCAGTGAATATTTCTAAGCAACCCTGAGTCGTGACCTAATATTACACATCATATATAGTTCTTTTTAAGAATCACAGCAGGCTGGGCAGAGAAACAGGGTTTCTCTGTAGCTTTGGAGCCTGTCCTGGAACTTCACTCTGTAGATCAGGCTGGCTCCTGCGTCCTGAGTGCTGGGATTAAAGGTATGTACTACCGCTTAGCAGGAGTTTTTAAAACATGCAAAAAGGAAGACATTAGTACACTGAACTGCCAGGGACTTATCAGACAGCTTGTGAGACCAGAGATACATGGCCAGTCATATTCCTTCTGCACCTCTACTCATCCCCTCTCTTCACCATTCTGAAGCAGATGTCAGGATGTCATCAAGGTTTTGTTTCCTACTTATTCTTTTATTTATTTGGTTTTTCAAGACAGGCTTTCTCTGTAGCTTTGGAGCCTGTCCTGGAACTAGCTCTTGTAGACCAGGCTGGCCTCGAACTCACAGAGATCTGCCTGCCTCTGCCTCCCGAGTGTTGGGATTAAAGGCGTGCACCACCACTGCCCGGCTTTTCTACTTGATCTTGATGTTCTTTCCCTTGGATGGGAAGAGTGTGCTTAATTTTTATTGCTGTTGGAGGTTTTATTATACCTAACATTCTCTTTCTGGGGGTGCATGTGCTCCTTTGCACACACACACCACTGTGCATGCTAGGCAAGTGCTCTGTCATTGAGCTATTTGTAGAACCAGTATTTTCTGGCCTTACATTCTGTTATTTTGTTGTTTGGGAATGGGGAAGTTAAGGTAAGGTCTTGCTATGTAGCGTTTGCTGGTCTGAAATTTGATATGTAGATCAAGTTGACCTTGACTCATAAAGATCTGCCTGCTTCTGTCTTCTGAGTGCTTAAAGGCATGTACTAACGTGCTTGGCTTTTGTTTTTAAAGGTGTGTGTGTGTGTGAGAGAGAGAGAGAGAGATAGAGAGAGAGAGAGAGAGAGAGAGTCGGTGTGCATCACATGCATATAGGTACTTGTGGAGGCTGTAAGAGGCTGCTGCTGAATCCCCTGTAGGCAGTTATAGCTGTAAGCCATCTTACATCCATGGGTGCTGGAAACCAAATTCAGGTCCCCTGGAAGAGCAGCAAGTGAGTCACATGAACCTACTACACATCACTTTGTTCCAAATGCTTGACTTATGCTTACCAATTCTTCCATGTTTTCACTATACCACATGAGGTTCAGGATTGGAACAGTTTATGTGGTGCTGGGGACTGAACACAGGGCCTCATCCTTCGTAACAAGCGTTCTGTGAGTTGAGCTACATTCCCAACCCCTTAGTAAACTGCTGACAAATGGATGGATGAACCCCATTATTGTGCAACACTCTTGATGGGTAGATGTGAGCAAATGTTTTCTCCTGATTGTGAACTGGTGACAGAGCAAAGTAAAGGGACCATCAGAGTACAGCCTGGCAAACCAGTGAGTTTATTTTTTTAAATTTTTTTTATGATTTATTTATCTTTTTTTAATTTTTATGTGCATTGGTGTGAAGGTGTCAGATCCCCTGGAACTGGATTTTCAGACAGTTGTGAGCTGCCATGTGGGTGCTGGGAATTGAACCCGGTCCTCTGGAAGAGCAGTCAGTGCTCTTAACCTCTGAGCCATTTCTCCAGCCCCCAGTGAGTTTATTTTTAATCACCAAAAACTCAAAGTGCATCGGTAGCAGCTGGAACTATGGAACTCATAAACAACAGGCAGCTGGTCTGGTCAGAGCTGTCTCTCCAGTTCTTATTGCTTATGTATCTCGGGGACAACTGGGCCTAGTTAATCTGGTCAGTTTCAGGAACTTGATGAAACATTTGCGCTTACTTTCTGAGTTTGCTTTCGAGATGGAATATTTATCTCCACCACCATCACCCAGAACATATTGCATCTTCACATTTTCCCTTCAAGATGCAGTGTTTTATCCGAGGAAATTACTATACAACATCCATATGGCTTTTCAGTCTTCTGAATCTTAAAACTACCATTTCAGATATGTAGTTGGTAGTGTGAGGGGGTAGGATGGTAGTGGTAGTCATCATGGTGATTGAGTCCAGGGCCTCACAGATGTTGGGCCAGTACTCTTTCATGAACCCACATCCTAGCCCGCGTGTTTTGCCTAGCTGAAGAATCTCATTTCACCCTCGTGGCTCCCCTTTCTGGTCTCTTCTGGTCAGATGCATTCAAGCACTCCTAATGGCAGAGGACTGGAACCAGAGGCAAATTCTGGGAAGAGAAAATAGAGCATCATGGTGAAATACTCTAGGCAGTTCAGACAGGTTGAAGGAGGAAGAGGACAGTTTGCTATAAAGAGTCCTGGAAATGTAGCCTACTGCGTAAGGATCAGGGATGGTGGCTCACGCTTGCTAACATCAGGAGGATGGGGTCCTCTGGTCTGAAGTACTGTACAAGCAGAATTTCAACCACACGAAGTTCATCATTGACTCAGCATTTGTGAAGATCAGACTCCACAGTGAGAGCAGAGATGGACTCCCTCTGCATTTAAGAGAAGGCAACCTGAGGTCAGGCATAGTCACCACAGGCAGTCAGAGCTGTCAAAGTCTTGTTTGGGCTCCTATACACAGAGTGTGATGGTGAGCAAAAGTGGAGTGGCTCAGAGTTTGCCATCCTCGTTGGATGCATGATCCCAGCCCTCAATCCTTAAACCCATTAACTACTCTGAAACTCGGGTGGGTTCTGCTGGGGCTACCTTCTTCAGTCCTAAGTACAAAGCAGAAGTCTCTACACCTGCCACAGCCCAGATCACGTGCATCTTAGTTGTTCAGACCTACTGGCTTGTCTTTCCACAAGACACAGCTCCCCAGAAAGTGAGCTAGAGCAGAATTAAGCTCTCCAGATTCCAGCCTGTTTGGGGCTCCAGAAAGAGGGCTATATATATATGGTAAGATGCTAAGGGTAGAACCTCTCCTCTCCAATCCCAAGCCCTAAGCACCAGAATGATTTCACTTAAAGTGGAACAAAGTGAAACAAAGACAATAGGCTTTGGGGGCCAGTGGATGGCTCAGTAGGTAATGGTTCTTGCCAACAAGGCTGATGACATGTGTGACACCAAAGCCCACATGATGGAAGGAAAGAATTGATCCTGCATGCACGCAAAATATAAATTTTAGAATGTGGAAGGTATTAGCAGCCAGCATCAAATTAATAAAACAGAAAGGAAATAGATGAGTCTCTCTTCAGAACATGAGTAAATGACTTTTTTGGTGTACAAGGAAGGGGCTATAACTACCACTGGACTTACTCAGTGAGATGACTATTAATTATAAACATTCGAGGGCTAGAGGGATGACTCAGTGGTCAAGAGTGCTGGCTGCTCTTATGGAGGACCTAGGTTCAATTCCCAGCACCCACATAGCAGCTCACAACCATCTGTAACTCCAGTCTTAGTGGATCCAGTGCCTTCTGGTCTCTGCAGAACCCAGACATGTACATGGTGCATACATACATACAAGCCTACATACATGTATATAAAAAACTATATACATAAAATTTTAAAAGTTGTTTTAAACATAAGAAAGAAATGTTTGAAATAGCTGACAGGACGCTCAATGGGAAAGGTACCTTCTGATGGGTTTGATGAGCTGAGTTCAACTCCAGGACCCACGTGGGGATGTGGGAGGAAGGAGCCAATTCCTACCTGTAAGTTGTCTGCTGACCTCCACACATGCACCATGATATACACACACACTAAATAAAATGTAATAAAGATTTTTAATTAATCCCATTTATGATTTCAAAACTGTAAACTAGGAGTACACAGGGACCTTTTCAATGTGAAACACTTTAACTAACATTATAGTTAAATTATAAGTTTTCTCACCACCAAGGTAAGGAACAAGGTTAGGTTTTGCTTTCCTGCTCCTTTTTACACCATGTGGGAAGGCATAGTAAGTGCAATATAGCAAAAGAAATAAGAGATACAAAGCTTGGATATATATCTACCCATTTCTAGAAAATCCAAAGAACTGAGAGAAAAACTGTTACTGATAAGCCATTGTAGAGAAAGCTACAGGATATAAGGTTAATAAACGAAACTCAGTTGCTTCCCTATACACCCAGCGAGCCAGTAGAAAATGAAGCATAAGGCACAGATTTAACAAAACACCTACAAAACTCTTCACTGAACAAAATCAGAAAACTAAAGGGGGAGACCTTCCATTTTTATGATTAGAATCATAAAACAACAAAATGTTGCCAAGATTTAAGTCTTCCCCAACCTGACCTGTAGATTGAGAATCATCCCAAAGTCCCAGTGAGTTGTTTTGTGGATATAGACAAACTAATCCTAAAGTTTACCTGGAGGGAGAGAAAAGACTCAAAATAGTCAAACCAGCGTTGAAATAAGGGAGTACATCCGGAGGACTGACATTTTCTGATCTTCAGACTCAGAATGAGGGGAGTAGCAAGATGGCTTGGTAGGTAGCAGCATGACCTGGGTTCCATGCCTGGGACCGTGTGCTGGAAAGAGACGGTCAGCAGCCAGCTGGAAGCTGTCCTCTGACTTCCAGTCTCCAGCCACACATGCACAGAAATGATAACAAAAGCAGAACAAAACCCTTAAACAAGTGAGACAGTCTCTTACTGGTGAGAGGACAGTAACAGACAAGTAGATGAGTGCAAGAATAGGACCCACAAATAGTGTAGACTGCCCAGACCAGTCCTGAACTCCTGAGCTCAACTGATTCTCCTGAGTCAGTCTTAGGCCTCCCAAGTAGCTGGGACCGCAGGCATGCTGCCACCGTCTCAGTGGAGACACTGATCTCTGACAGTGGAACAAAGACAACACAGTGGAGACAAGATAGTCTTTCTACGCAATGATGGCAGAACAACTACACAGCTACATGAAAAAGAAATTAGACACATACATTATACCTTAACAAATATTAACTTACTATCATAGAATAAAATACATAGAACTAAACTTGAAACTCCATGGGGGAGAGGGTCTCTAGGGTCAGTGAGATGGCTCAGCAAATAAAGGCAATTTTGCTAAGATTGACAACCTGAATTGAGTATCTGCTCCAAATTGTAGGAGAGAACCAGTTTCAGCAATAGTCCTCTAACATTCACATGTGTGCTGTGACACACACATACACACACATGATTACATGGCTTTTTAAAAGTCTAGATGACTTGGAGTATACTGATTACTTGTAGAGACACTATGCCATGGTGGTCAGTTCCAAGAGTCACTTTGAAGCCAAGTTCAGTGCTGACCCAGGTTGTATAACTAGACAGACTAGAAAAGCAAGGGGGAGAATGCCAAAAGCATGACACATGAAGGAAACCATTGATAAGAATTGATAAGATGGACTTAATGAAAATTACAAAAGTTTATGCTCTGGGAAATATAGTGTCAAGAGAACGAGGGGATGAGCCAACACACTGGAAGAAAATATTTGCATGAAACACAGCTGACTAAGGACTGTTAACGCAGAATATACCCAGAACTTTGTTTGGTTTTCCAGACAGGGTTTCTCTGTGTAGCCCTGCTGTCCTGGAACTCACAGACACTGCCTGCCTCTGCCTCACAAGTGCTGAGATTAAAGGTCACCACTACCTGGTTTAGAACTTTTTTTTTTTAAGTAAGACCACTTCACTATATAACCCACACTGTCCTGAAAGTTTTTCTAAAAAAATGTTTTTGCCAGGTAGTGGCGCATGCTTTTAATTCCAGCACTCAGGAGGCAGAGGCAGGCATTCGAGGCCAGCCTGGTCTACAGAGCAAATTCTAGGACAGCCAAGACAACACAGAGAAAACCTGTCTCAAAATACCAAAAATAAAAGAAAATTTGTTTTAGATTGATTTATTTAGGATTTTTGGAGCCAGAGTCTATTATACCCTGACTTGCCCTGCAGCTCACTATACAGACCAGGCTGACCTGAAACTCAGAGACCCACTTGCCTCTACCTCTTGAGGGCTAGGATTAAAGGCATGCACCACTATGCCTGGCCCTAGGTGTAGTTGTTTGCTTGTTTTTTTAATTTTTTAAAAATTTTATGTGTATAAGTACTTTGTCCGCAGGTATGTGTGCATTCCATTCATGTGCCTGGTGCACATAGGTCAGAAGAGAGCTTCAGAGATTCCCTGGGAATTGGAGTTACTGATGGGTGTGAGCCATCATGTGGGTGCTGGGAACTGAACCTGGGTCCTCTGTAAAAGCAACAAATGCTCTGAACCACTGAGCCCTCTCTCCAGCTCCCATCTTAGAACTTAGAATTCCCTCCCTCGTCCTTTTTTTTTTTTTTTTTTTTTTTTTTTTTTAAGACAGGTTTTCTCTGTAGTTTTTGGTGCCTGTCCTGGAACTAGCTCTTGTAGACCAGGCTGGCCTCGAACTCACAGAGATCCGCCTGCCTCTGCCTCCCAAGTGCTGGGATTAAAGGCGTGCGCCACCACCGCCCGGCCTTCCCTCGTCCTTTTGAATGCTGGATTACATACAGGTGTGTGCCAGCACAGGCAACCTAAACTATTTGTGACACTAATTTTTAATTCTGTCTTTGATGAGATAGGATCTATACAGTTCAAACTGGTTGTGAACTCACAAAAATCCTCTTACCTTAGTCTCCTATGATCTAGGTTTAGAGTAATTACCACTAAACCTAGCTTATTTTATTGAGGAAAGTGCTATACAGCACTGAGCTATATACTCTTAAAACTTAACAATAACCCATTTTAAAAATAAGCAAAAAACAAGGCTGGAGAGTTGGCTCAGTGGTTGAGAGCAGTGTCTGCTCTTCCAGAGAACGCAGCACCGACATGACAGCTCACAAGTATCTGTAACTCCAAGATCTAACATCCTCACACAAACACAAAATAAAATAAAAAATAAATTATTTTAAAAAATAAGCAGACACTGGGCGGTGGTGGTGGTGCACACATTTAATCCCAGCACTCGGGAGGCAGAGGCAGGTGTATCTCTGAGTTTGAGGCCAGCCTGGTTTACAAGAGCTAGTTCCAGAACAAGCTCCAAAGAAAGCAACACAGAGAAACCCTGTCTCGAAAAACAAACAAACAAAACAAAAACAAACAAACAAACCAAAAACCCAGACCCGAACTGCTGAGCCTTAGTGTCAGAGCACTCACCTCAAATTCAAAGGCCCTGGTTTCCATCTCTAGCACTCAACTTTAATCAGGAGGTAAAGGCAGGGAATCTCTGTGAATTTAGAATCAGCCTTGTCTACATGTAATGAGACCCTGGCTCAAA